ATACTATTGTAATGAATCAGAGTTCGGCCAATGGGAATGAAGAATATCCCAATAGTAAATTTGATTGAGTGAAATTCCAAAATATGAGTATGAATGAAAATATGAAATGCATGACAACATATGTAAAAATATCACATACACACATACAAATATACTTCGTTGTAAAATAGATTTGTAAGAACTCTTTTCTGATTGGTTAACAGAAAAGAGTATTGAGTGATATCTAGATTTAAGAATTTTTGTTAGAATTAAGAATTTTATTATAAATACAAAAAGGAAAAATAAAGAAGTCAGACTTGCTCTGACATCCATCAAGCTTGCTCTATCAGCAAGCCAACAAAACATAAAAGTAACTTATTACACCAGGTTAAGAAAGAAAACCTGGGGATTACAAGTCTCAAATAAAATCCAAACAGGATAAATATCGACGTGGACTCTTCAGTTTAGAACATGTCGATCTTTAATGTTTATAATCGATTGCGTAATACAAAATCCTGAGATGGTAGCAATATTTTGACATCTCATTCCATAGTATAAGCGTAATACTATTTTGCAATTGATGGAGGAAAGTTTAAATTGAAAATTAATTTAAAGACACATTTTCTGGAAAAAATAACTTTAATTTTGCACCGTTTAATTGTTTCACGTTGTAGTAGATATAACTGACTTTGAAATCCACTTGAAATATAGTGTAATAAGTTTTTGGGATTTTGCATTGGGAAAGCCAAATGCAACATGTGCAAATTATGCAACATTTGTAAGTAAGTAAAAAATGGGGAGGGCTCGCATTTAAAATGCCCTCTCCCTTTGGAGTAAACAGTTAGGTGTTCTGTTTAGGAGGTGTTTAAATGTTATTTTTTTGTGAGGAAAAAAGATATGTAAGCTAACATTTAAATGGGCAATAATATTTGGTGATTTGTGATAGGGGTTTGTAGTTAAGATCTAACATTAATAGTTAAAATTCTCCTTTTCTTAAAAAAGGGTGGTTTGTTGTTGAAATCGCATTTCATAAACGATTGTTTTGTTAATATTGAATAAATATACAATCCGATAAACAATTATAATTCACTTATACAGATCGAAAGTATCAATATATCGATTAGCTCTAACGGTAATAATATTCTGTAACTTAAAGGATACTTGTAAATCTCATGTTAGATTGTTACACAAGAATGTGCAACAATTATGGATATTTAATTATAATTTATTTTGTGAAGAGAAAAAGGAGAGGACTATTCCTCCCCCCTTCCCCTCAAATGGCAAGTAACGCTTTGATGTTTATATCATTTTAAAATGAAATAAAAAATTCTTTGCCCATGAATACTTCTGATAATTACCAAAAAGGCTAATCAATAAAGAAGTTTTGTATATTTTTCTTTGGCAAGCAAAGCTTTTCACATTCCAATTAGAGAATGTGGTGGTATATGTAGTGTGTCACCATCACATTATGTTGCCATGCATTTTGATATTCAGTATTTTGTTTTGTTGAGTTGGTCAGTGCCACAACGAGTTCATTGCTTTCATTGTTTCTTTGTTTTTCAGAGCGCTGCTCATATGAAGTTCATTGCTTTATGCTTACTCATATGTTGGGCGACAGTTTAGAGTTTCCAATTGGAAACTCAAATACCATTGTAATGAATCAGAGTTCGGCCAATGGGAATGAAGAATATCCCAATAGTAAATTTGATTGAGTGAAATTCCAAAATATGAATATGAATGAAAATATGAAATGCATGACAACATATGTAAAAACATCACATACACACATACAAATATACTCAATTGTAAAATAGTTTTGTAAGAACTCTTTTCTGATTGGTTAACAGAAAAGAGTATTGAGTGATATCTAGATTTAAGAATTTTTGTTAGAATTAAGAATTTTATTATAAATACGAAAAGGCAAAATAAAGAAGTCAGACTTGTGCTGACAACCATCAAGCTTGCTCCATTAGCAAAGCCAACAAAACATAAAGTCTCAATTTATTACATGGCGATCCTGCCAGATCTTGCTCTTTAGTCAGCAAGTATCCTGCGTTCCATCCGCAGTTCCTGCGTTCTATCCGCAGTTGAAAAAAAAAAAAAAAAAAAAACATTTTTTATTTTTTTATGAAGACACTGCCATACTGTCCGGGCAGTCCGATCCAAGCCGTGGATCGTGGATTTGAAAACACTTAATGTCGGGACCGCAGCCACTAACCATAGATGAATATAGGAAGAGAAACAGACTGATTAGGACAGAGGATGAAATAAAGATCCCGAAGGTGAGCAGACCAAGGACGAGAGGAGGCTACACGTGGAGACTAAAAAAAGAAAGAGCTCTCCTGATACGGGAGATAAATGCTGATCCGCCACCTCCCTGGGAACGTGCTTCCAGGCTCTGGGCACGCATCGATGAGATAGATTTCCTCTTAAGGAACTATCTCAGCACCAGAAATCAGAAGAATAAATAAAACGCTGCATCAATTTGCAGACGTTAGGACCAGTAAGCGCGTTGCGCTCGTGGTCAACAGACTATAATTTTTTTTTTTTTTTTTTTTTTTAAAAAAAAAACCCAATAACAAAAAAAAAAAATATAATATGACTTCATTAAAAATTAAATAAAAACAAAAAAAAGAAAAATATTATGAGTTTATGAAAACAAAAATATATTTTGATAATCATGGGAAGTACCCAAACAAAAATAAGCGAGGTGATACAGGCTACGGCCAATGCACCAACAGCCGTTAGTATTAGCATTGAGGTACTAATATTAATTTGCATTATAATAACCTTGGTGGTTATTGTTAAGTACTTAAAAAAATATGTAAAGAAGCAAGCACGTAAGCAACAAGCTAGAGTAAGCGCGTTGCAATAATTTCAAAAAAAAAAAAAAATGATTAATATTGTAAAATAGTAATAGCAATAAGTCCACTCACACATCACTGTAGTGTGTCACCATCACATTATGTTGCCATGCATTTTGATATTCAGTATTTTGTTTTGTTGAGTTGGTCAGTGCCACAACGAGTTCATTGCTTTCATTGTTTCTTTGTTTTTCAGAGCGCTGCTCATATGAAGTTCATTGCTTTATGCTTACTCATATGTTGGGCGACAGTTTAGAGTTTCCAATTGGAAACTCAAATACCATTGTAATGAATCAGAGTTCGGCCAATGGGAATGAAGAATATCCCAATAGTAAATTTGATTGAGTGAAATTCCAAAATATGAATATGAATGAAAATATGAAATGCATGACAACATATGTAAAAACATCACATACACACATACAAATATACTCAATTGTAAAATAGTTTTGTAAGAACTCTTTTCTGATTGGTTAACAGAAAAGAGTATTGAGTGATATCTAGATTTAAGAATTTTTGTTAGAATTAAGAATTTTATTATAAATACGAAAAGGCAAAATAAAGAAGTCAGACTTGTGCTGACAACCATCAAGCTTGCTCCATTAGCAAAGCCAACAAAACATAAAGTCTCAATTTATTACAATATGTAAATAAAAATCTATTAATATCTGATTTTGTAATACTCAGACTTTCGAAATAGCAAATCAATATTTCGAAGGTGACATTAGTAATCAGTTGTACGACAAGAATAGATGTTTTAATTATTCGGTTATTTGAAGAATGTTTAGACACAGTAGAGAACTTTTGTAAAAGTAAGTTTCAAATAAGATAATTAATTAGTTGCTGAACTCCAATAAAAAGTTCAAAGGAGGGAACTACAAAGTCCCTCCATCAGTTAATATAGATTAAACTCTCGAGATATTTATAAATCGTGTTTTGCTTAAAATTGCGCAGTATATGCTTTATCTTACGATTTAATTTACACAATAAAGAAATTTTGTTGTACGATATCATATTAGTGGTAGAATTTTATCAAGTTCTTTGTCATGAACAGATTCTAAGTTTACTTACAGAAAAGAACCCTTTCGTTTACGAGAAGTTAATGCTGATTCCCCTACCTCCCAGGGATCGTGCCACTAGGTTGTGGTGTAGGATAAACGAGATCGACTTCTGGATAAAAAGCTATATTCTTGAATGTAAAAAAAGAAAAAAAACGCTGCATCAATCTACTGGCATTAGCGACAAGTAACAGCTTGCCGCTCGTGTCCAGAAAAAATTTTTTCACTACATGAATTTGGAAATATTTAAAAAAATATATTATTGTAAGTTATAAGAAAGAATTTCTGAAGTTCTGAACTATGGGAAGCACCCAAACGAAGATAAGTGAAGTAATACAAGCGACCGCGAATGCTCCTACGGCAGCCAGCGTGAGCATCGATGTGTAAATCTTAGTCTGTTAAGCTAGACTGAGAACGCTGCAATAAAATCAAAATTTAATAATTATGGAAAAGCATCGACGAAAACAATTTCTCAATTAGGATTTATACTAAAATTAATAAGAAAAATAAACTCTTTTTGGGGAGTTATATTTAATCAAAAAGTCATCATTATTTGTTATCTTGTGAAATGATAAAAACAATCAATTTTTGTTCTCAATAAAGAAATTTTGTAAAAAGAGATTTTTTTTTAAATCTCACTCATAATCTAATCAATATATTTTAAATAAGAAGATATGAAGAAAGAAGTTATGAATTGAACCAGCGACAAATTATGCTGAGACCATATTACAAGCAGCAGTATTGTAAGCGTGCTGTTGTTATACTGGCTGTGCGTTGATTGTTCTGTCCCACAGTTCTCTCCTCGTTTTCTCTCTTCATAGTTTGTAAGACTCAGCAAGTAAGTCATTATGAATGTAAAATATAGTAAGAATGAATGCGAAATAGAGTATGAACCATATGTTGAAGGAAATTCCTTGATATTTGCAGATCTATGCAGAAATCATGCATAAATTCAATGGAATTCCCTCACAAAAGAAATATCAATAAATAAGACACTGGCCCTTAGGCCATGTTAGAAAATTAAAGTTGAATTTCGTTTATAACAACACTACCCGAATGTAGGGTAACTCAAAACGAATCAATTTTTGATCTCAATAAAGAAATTTTATATAAAGGAAATTTTTAATGAACATTTTAAAAATAGTTTAGAGAACATTTCTGAATTTTATTTATATTTCGTTGTTCTACACCGTTTTTACCTACTAGGTTTAATTTGCTAAATGGATACCGCCTGCTGCAGTACATTGTAAAAAATGAAATATTATTAATTTATAACATTTCTTAAATTCCTTGAGATGAATAATTTGCAAGCTCCGATATCCGGAGTGTTACGTTATGGATTACAACGAAAAAATACAATCTAATAATAATTATTATTAATTTGTATGCTTTTGTATTCTGCGAAGAAAAATCAGTTCAGATCTACAACTCAAAGAAAATAACAGTAAAGAAAGTCTTGCATATTTAGTAGAGCTTCACATAACAATTAATTTTTTTATGGTAGGATTAAATCATACAAGCTATGCACAATTAACAATAAAACAAATCGGACGTAGATATATATAGGAGCTATCTCTAAATTTTGACCGATTATCTCCAATTTCAATTGGATTCGTCCTTAAGCGAAACAAATGATTTGTGCTACATTTAATCTGAATCGGGTAATAAATGCGACCTGTACTTTGTTTACAAAAATACATGGACAGACGGACGGACGGACATACATAAGTCGACTCGGAATGTGATTCAATGCAGATCATTAAAATACATGGACAGACGGACGGACGGACATACATAAATCGACTAGGAATGTGATTCAATGCAGATCATTAAAACGAACTATGGCACAAGGACATAATACCCTTGCCACTATGTGGTGTAGGGTATTAAAAGATTTAATTTCTGTAATCTATATAAAGAGGAATACACTTATTATAGACGAAACTCAACCTATTGATAATGTTGAATGCGATAAAAAAAAAATCACGACACTTTTGTACTTGATCAGTAATTAGAATAGACGTTTACAAACGAATCAATTTTTGATCTCAATAAAGAAATTCTATATAAGCGAAAGGATATACCTAAAAGCAACAGCGTTGTTATTTATAACGAAAATTTTAAAAATAGTTTACAGTACATTTCTATTTAGAAACCATACACCGTTGTGACGGTTGCCGTTGTTGAACAAATTTGTAATAGATTTTTCTTCTCAATCTAATATATATTATATAAATGGATGGATATCAAACTTGATATTATTGCACCTGAAACGATACTTCGCATTGCCATCTGCCCCATACTCAGTCGATGCTGAAAAATGACAACTGGCAATCAAGAGCCTTAATTTTCATAAAAATTTGCATCGAAAGTAGGTTTTTCAATGCTCTACATATTTATTTTTTAATTTTTTATATTGTAAATTGAAATTATATAATTTCAAAAGTCCCTAGAGATGGAAAAGTTGCAAACTTCGATATCTAAAGTTTCACGTTTTTGTATTATAATGAATCAATACAATCATGTATAAATAGAGAGATTTTGTATAAAGGCGACAATATTTTACGATTTTGTGATAAATTTTGAATAGCATATAATTGTTAATACTATGAGACACAAGTTATTAATGGGACTGTATTATGTTCAATGAACATCATAAATAATTTTTGATTGCAATTATCTATCATCAAACGCGTCTGAATTATACAAAGGATCACGCGTTTTATAATCCCACCAAACGAATTGAATGTCCAAGATTTATTCGCTTGGTGGGGGGTGAGTTTCAATTTTACACATATTAAACATTAATTGTTGACATTGTTATTTGGTTTCAAAACACTTTTACAGCGAATTAATGCTACGATACGCGTAACTTCACAACAAATATTACTATGTTATGTTTAAATTCGATCAGAGTGATCTGCGTTTCTCCTGATGCTTCAGTTGACTGTAAATGTTTAATGTACACTCGTCATTAAAAATGTACACACTGCATGAAACATTTCTCTTAGTTAATAGTACTCAAATAAGAAATTTTGTATTAGGATTTAAGCGATAAACTATTCTGTGTTTCGGGACAGTTGTCTTTCTGATTTATAATGTGTAATGAGACTAGGCGTCGGTCTGATTATTCGGTAACCTAAACTTCAAGATGCTTAGGTTAAAAAGAGAAACAGATTGCCGGTGGTCAAATGGTAAGTTCCCTTTAAAATGAGGTTCCGCAATAGTATTTTTCTTAATTATAAGAGTCGATCTGCTCACGTTTTAATTAATATTGCAATATTAAAAATGAAATTGGCTGGGTTTTTCAGATTACTTTTCGGTACTCTCGGAATTGGCATTCAAAACAAATAATTATACATTTTTCTCACACGAAGTGGCCATTCAAACAAATTTAAACTTCAAAAATTCACAGTTGTCCTGAGAGAAATCGCATGATATCAGTTTAAAGTCACTATCAGAATTGTCGTAAAAATAATAATATGGGTAAGGAGATTCAATAACCGGGGACGTGATCTGGAAACCAAGCCAATTCAATTTTCTTTGCATTATTAATATTACAATATTCCTTAAGTGTTGAAAATTGTTAATTTTATCACGTATACTAACATAAAATGCATTTTGTTGACTCAATTGAGAAGTTGCATGAAGAGGGTATGTGTGTGATAATCTATAATATTCTATTTGTAGCCCACAAATATTATTTAAGAAACTAAAAAATATTAAAAGGCCCCATGCAAAGGATAATGAAATTGGATGAGTTTGATCGAAGCCGAAAGGATAATTTTTTACGAAAAAATATATGTATTCTACGACCCAGACTCAATGTTTGGCAATGAATTGTTTTAGCTTCGCCTGTCAGGTGAAACTTTTTGAGCCCAATTTAAAGGTGTGCTAGAGGACTCGCAAAACCACTCATATTCCCCAAAAACGTGCTTACTTTTAATTTTGAAAAATTTAGAAAAGTCGCAAACTTGGCCCTTTTATTTTATATAGTAAAGTAGAGCCCCGTATGACTAGCATATCTTGGTTGATTTCCAAAATGCTTGGGGATAGGTTACAATATAGTTCTTTTTCATGTGGACTTTGTAGTTGATAATAGAAGAAACACACCCATTTTTATAGAGACATATGCGTAATTCACTCACTATGTGAAATGGGTCTTAAGAATTTACTAATTTTTTAACATATATATTTTCAGATTATTTAAATAGGACTTGAAGAATAAATAATGGTGAGATACACATGTAAACAGGCAACAACAATAAATGATGTATGTTTCACCCGTTATTTTTAATTAACATTACGATTCCAAATAAGAAACCGTCAAAATGTTGTTTATTAGAAACACGATAGCACCTTTGTAAAATAGGTACCTCATTCCTCTTTGCGATGAGCAATGGATTATTGTTTTAGAAATTAGTAAAAAATATAAATTTGGCATTAGCAAAAATTGTAAATGAGATATGACGATTTTATGGCCTCTGTTCCAGTTCTCCAAGAATATAAAAAATTTTACTACGATAACCAATTTTCCCTTAATGGTATCGAAAAATATCATAATTAGTAGATTCTTGCAGGTACTGGAACAAAGCATTAAATAGCAAAAAGATTTGCAATTCATTGTGACATGGTGTTTGTTTTGGAAGAAAAAGTACTTGGCAATATTTAAAATACAAGAAATGTGAGTCCAACTTTACTATTTGAAATGGAAACCACATTTAATTGCAAATAATTCATATTAAAATATTCGAATAAATAAAATGGAAATGCTTTTTAATCGTATTAATGGCATGTAGGATGAGATTTAAAGACTTAAATATATAGTTTAAAAAACAATAAATTAATATTGAATGGCAAAAACCCTTACACGGAGGTTAAGTTTTCGCATTCGATATGGACTTTAATTTGATCGAAATAAAGATTAAATAGATGAAAAAGAAAATTTTAATAGAAGCTCTAATATTGGTTAACTATTAGTTTTGACCGAAAATTTCAAATTTATCAAATTAAAATTCACATTTTAAAATTAAGTGCGATATCGAATGCAAAGATTTGGCCCCAGTATGAGCTTTCTTAAATCAACTTTAAACAATAATGATATTTCGAATCAAAATTTCACAATTTTTAAAACACGGAAAGTAAAATTTTGCCCTAAGGAATATATTGTTTGGAAAGAATTCTGTTGTAATATGGACTTTTTTTTGTAAATTGAACTTGCACTGTAAAACAAGCAATGAATTCGGAAAATTTCAAACTCTATTTTATATTGCTTTTTGTTTGTTAATTATTTTCTTTTTGTGTGTGTTTGTTTGTTTTTTCTTTGTTACTTCATATAATGGCACATTTTGTTTGTGATAGTTTTGTTTTTTTTTTTTTTTTTTTTTTTTTAATACTGTTCTAAATACGGATAGAGCTGGGATTGAAGTGTAAAGAATGTGATTCGAGAGACAAGTGTTGGAATTTTTTTATTTAATATACATCTATAAAGATATATATGATTTTTTTTTTGTATTTTGAAACGTGATGAGATGTCTATATTATAATCGAACAAATTTTCTTTGGGTGGAGTGATTATTGGGGGAGAGTTATCAGTTCGGCTCTATACATGTTAAAAAAATATTGAAATAGGCCAACCATGTCCCTTGATTGTGTCGTTATCCTCCATAAGATCATAAGTTTTGATGATCATTCAATTATGCTACAGTGATTTTTGTGTGTTGTTTGTAAAAATTGCTATTATTTTGTTATTGGTTTTTTGCTACCATTCCTTATAGATTGTATATCAAAAAATGTTATATTTTATTGTATATTCCAAGTCTTGTTTAAAAATGCTCTTTGTTATTGTTTTTTTCTTTTTTATACGCAATGTTCGTTCTATGAAAAGAATTGACTTTTTGCTATAGTTTTGTGTGTTTGTGAATTGTTGTTCCAGGTGGTGATGGGCGATAAATAGGCATTAAAAAAAGACAACAAAGTATATATTCGATAATTTTATACATCTTTAGATGTACATTTTGTCAAATAAAAATATTAAAATATTATTAATAATACAACACATATTGAATAGAACTTACATTATTATTAGAGTAGGTGTGTTCGTGTGATTTTTCATTGAAATTAAACATCATTGAGTTGCACAAAAAATTGCAATAAAAAATGAGGGCAGGGTTAAGGCAAATATTATAGCTTCCCCATAGAAGCTTTGATTCGAAATTTGTCAGGAATTTCCTGCAAAATCTCAAATCTTAATGTGACGCATAGATTGTTCGAAATTTGCCAGGAATTTCCTGCAAAATCTGAAAAAATAATGTGACGCATAGATTTCGACTCTCAGGCGAAACTTATTGACTTAAAACGAAACGAGTATGACATTTCGGAATTATCTCATCAGAAAAGATAGTTTAATCATGGTTTCAAATGATTGGAAACTTTCGAAAAAAAAAAAAAACTAAAAATTTCCCATGGGCAATATGGAAAGACGTGTTAAACGAAAACATGCGTTTTATATCTACTCGACTGTTTACTTTCAATGCAATCGATCACACCACCTTCCTAAAAAATTAACGTTTGTTTGTTTGTTTTGCTTTACCTTAAAAATTAGAAACAAAAATGTATAATACAATTTTACAAGATGGGGGAGGGATAATTTTTTTTTACAAACATATATGTATATCATACCTACTAAAGTACACGGCCACGTTTGAAGATAGGTTGTTAGGAAGAGAAGTGTGCATATGTGCAATTTAAATAGCTACACATCTTAGCTGCCAGTGTGTTTTTTGTTTGTTTTGTACGACGCTCCACACATCTAACATGGGGGGAGATTGACATTCTTATACAATCGCGTAATGATTGGATGATGATCCCTAATGAACACCAACTCCGGTATGACTGTTGTTGGAGGTGGATGTAGCTGTCATGTTTGCAGTGGAGGATGATGAGGAGGATGTATTGCCATCAATGTGATTCAAATCCAATTTTTGTACCTCACATTCCAGCTGTTGTAGACAATTCTTTTTGTTGAGGTGATTATTGGTTGAATCGGCTGGCGGTAATGTCGCCCCAGATGTTGGTGACATTGTGGCTATTGTGGTATTGGCAGTGGTTATTGATATTGGTGATGTTGTGGTTGTTGTTGAGGTATTAATCAGTTCTTTTTGTTGTTTTTCATCTTGATGATTTGCAGCGGCAGCTGCGGCTGCAGCAGCGGCGGCGGCGGCCGCCTGTGATTTTTTGTCCTTGGACTTTTTCAAAGCACTTAAAAGAACATTCTTTTCTTTGTCCTTTGTCTTGCCTTCTTTATCCTTATCCTTGTGTTTGTTGTTCTTTGTAAAGCGTGGAAATATACAACCGTTTGGCAAGAAACCACCAAGTTTCTCCTTTTTGGTGGTTGGTGGAGGATTTACAGCAGCAGCCGGTTGTGTTACGGCTGTAGTTGGCTGGGCGGCAGGGTTGTTGGCTATGTTATTAGTGGAGGCAGGAGCAGGTGGAGGGGTTGAGTTATTATGACTATTCTTCGCCGTATTATTTGTGGCCAAAGTACAGTTAACAGTTTCAGCCGAGTTTGCGGCATTGGATTCGGTATTATTTGCATTCGTTGCTATAGCACCATTGCTGATTGTGCCCCCATTACTTATTATCTGAGTTTTAGCATCTAAATTATTTGCATTCAGCTGATTGTTCAACTCATTCCTCTGTGTTATGCCCACAACGCCACGATTTGAATCAGTCGAGTCCTTTGTATTATTACCATTGCTTGTGATGATATCATTTGGATGATTCTCATCGTGTGGCTTTTCAGTGGGTGAGTGTATTTCGTCAGCTCCCAGCGATGATACGGCTGCTGCAGCCTTATTGTCCAAATGTTCGGCCAGTTGGGCCAGGTTAATGGGTTTCGTTACTTCAATGTCACCACCATTTTCTTCGTTTTTGTGCAGTTCCTGTTGCATTAATAATTTTCTACTTCTAGGTGGAGTACCTTCACCCATAAAATTACCAACCAAACCTCCACCCTTGGGGAATATTTGCTGCTGCTGTTGTTGTTGCTGAAGCATTGCTGAGTTATTGCTTAGTCCTGGACTCAAGGAGCCGGGTGGTGCAGCTCCACCATTTGTTGTTAAATTATGATAATGTTGTTGCTGTTGTTGTTGTCGCTGTTGCATCATTTGTTCTTCTCGCTCGCGATCTCTTTGAGCCTGTACCGCATTCCAGACATCTTTCAGTTCACCGGATATATCACGATCTTTAAGTATAACAGCATTTCTGCGAACAAAGAAAAGAAAGGAGAAAAATCAGTTTAAGAAGAATTAACAAAAAGCGATTAGGTTATAGGGTGATTTTTAGCTATACTCTATTAGGCAACACCAGTTTAAACAGTTCATGAATGTTCCGCAGTTGCTTTTTGGACATTCGTTACAAAATTTCGCTCTAAATTTACATTGGTAAGCATTGAACTGGAAAAAATTTCGCAGCTTTATCGGCCAGTGAGAATGATGACCATTACCCAGAGGTGCAAACCAAGCTCAATGAAAAATGCAGCCTATTACGTTGTTATGGTTACAACGTAATGAGGAACGATCACACCTGAAGTGGGACGGGGGAATAGCGTTCCTTTTGCAAGATTCCGTTCAATACAGCACTATCTCACCTGAGCTAATCTCTGGGAATGTATTGGAGTAGCTGTCAAGTATGAAACTGCCGAGGTAGATGCCGCGATTAATGCGGCTTTATTTGCCCGATATTACCTCGCTGGTGGTAGGCAATAACCAACTTGTGCTAGGAGATTTTAATGTCCACCACGAGTTATGACATTCCTTCCTATCTATGTAATGACCAGAGGATATCAGCGCTGGCAGAACAGATTGACAGCTCTACTCACTACACGGTAGGCACCCCCCGAAAAGAGGAGAGTGTCACAGTCACAGCCAGACTTAACCATAGTATCACCCGGTCCGATAAATGACCAGACTTGGCAATCCGTCATTTCTACTAGGTCAGACCATCTCCCGATAATCGTCTCCATAAGCAGAACGCCGTGCTTTCGTTAACCTTGGGAAAGATCACTAGCTGGATTTCTAAGAGTTCACCAACCTTTGCTTCAGAGAATTTCCCAACCCTTCTGATGTGCCGCAAAGCATTTTCCGGAACATCATCAACGCTGCAGCGCCTTGGTAAATACCTGCTAGTCGAATATCCGAAATTAGACCAAATTTCCCAGCAAGTGAACCTGATGATCTCCGTCGTTCCAACCCTACTGATTCCAGAATAAGTGGATTGACAGTGGGTGTCAACCGGTTGGTAAATAGGCATAAGTAGAAAAAGGGTCTAGACCATCTGCAGTGTTGCAGCATTGGAACCGAAGTGAGTAAACTGTGGGTAGCGGTTGAATCGCTCTGGAACCCTGGCAAAAGAATGATAGGAAGAGGAGCTTGTCGCCTACTTCCACGCGAGGAAAATTGAAATATCCGGCAACAAATCAATGGTCACACTCTTTAACCCATGGTATGCGACGATGAGCAGAATGTGCAGGTCGAAGGACATATAATTCCGACCACTAACCTCCAAGATCCTAGGGGTCACATTCGATAGTATTTTCAAGTATATCTGGGTCAAAGGGCAAAGTAGGCACAACTATGTTCTCAACCCGCAATTGTGTTCAGGATGGTGTATTCCTCTTAATTCGTTAGGCACCAAATTACAAAGATGTGTGAAACGTTTACCCGTCGTCTGACACAGGCCTCCGCCACCTATTTAATTGCCCTGCCAAACCTACGCCATTCACTCCAGAAGATGTTTGGCTACAGCCTTCTTTTTGAGTCTGGAGTAATAACCGGACTAGCAGAAATCAAAGAAAACATGTAAAGCTGTTACAACAACGAAACGTGCGTCAGCTGTATATAATCTGTCAAATTTATACCATGCTTACAGATATATTATACCGGGCAGATTCCTCTAGAAACCAATTTGAATAGGGTTTGTCCTTGGGCCATTCAGCTGGGCAAAATTCCATCTCAACCGGGCATAAAATGCGACAGACATGCTTAATTCGACTCAGAATGTGTAATCACCGAAATTAACTGGGGGTCTATCTTTTTACATGTTAAGCACAAATAGAAACAAGCTAAAAAGCAGTAAGTTCGTCCGGGCCGAACTTTGAATACCCTCTACCATTTGGAACTAAATTGGAAATTTTCAAAATATAAAATCCTTAAAAAATTCTGCTAAAATTTAAAAAATACCGGCATTGTTTATCATAAGCCATTACCATATTCAAATTCGAAACTTGAAATAAACGGTGAATAATGTCGCTAAAATCATCCAAATATCGTATATAGGGAGGTACCGTTACCGTATCGGAGCTGTCCAAAGACCTGAACCACCATAGACATAGGCTGTAGCATCCATTACGAACTTCAAATATGACATCTCAAACAATTTCGGTGGGTATTGTACCTAAAGTCGTAAAAATACCGAATACACGAAGGTACTGATATATGGGGCCTATACGAAGACCTGGACCTGCATAGATAATTTTCTGTCCCAGACTGTAGTTCCCATTACGAACTCTGAATACGTAATTTGAAACAAATCCGGTTAATAATGTCACAAAAATCATCAAAATACCGAGTATCGGGAGGTACCGTTATATGGGGGCTATAAGAAGACGTGGACCTACCTGTACAGACAATTTTCTGTCATAGGCTGTAGTATCCATTTCGAACTCTGAATACGTAGTTTGAAACAATTACGATTAATAATGTCGCTAAAATCATCAAAATACCGAATATCGGGATGTACCGTTCTATGGGGGCTACATGAAAACGTGGACCTGCATGGCCCATTTACGAACTTTACCCGCCTACTGGAAAAAAAAACATGTGTGCAAAATTGTAGCCTTCTCTCTCAATTCGTTCGAAAGATAGCGTGATTACAACAGAAAGACGGACAGACAGGCAGACAGACGGACATCGCTAAATAGATTTGAATTTTACGCAGATCAAGAATATATATATACTTTGTTGGGTCTGACATGAGTATTTCGAGGAGTTACAAACCAATGACAAAGTATGGTGGAGGGTATAAAAAAGTATCCTGCACCAATGCGAAGTACGGCATAAATAATTTGGAAGAAATAATAAAATTAATTGTTTCCCTCTTTCGAGATGGGGATACCTCAAATGTTACTTTCTTACTCTAATAAATCGATTCTTACCATCCATCATGCTAACCCAAGTTGTTATCCATGTAGGCATACAGAAAGCGAAAACACATTGACATCCTCACACCATATATATTTCACTAGCAATGTAATTTCATATTTTCCGCCATATTCAAAACTCAACAAAGCAATGGAGGAATACTAGTTGTCACCAAGAATAAATGTCATCATAGCAGATGATATTGGCTTATTAGGGTTGTTGACTGATCGATCTGTACTGCCAAATACTAAACTAAAAAAGAATGTATGATACGAACGGAGCAGAGAAGCTCCGTCACATTTCACAAAGCAAATGTGTTCAACAGGAAATTCCTCATTAAAATATATATGTATGGACGTACATATGTTAAATACACATAAACTCAATGGCTAACATAAAATCGTGCTAAAGAAATGGTCAAAATTTTAGCATAACAAAGCTAATATTTCTTTCATGAATGGCATGCACGCATAATTTTTTTGGCAATGATTTCAAAATGAGGAAAGTAAAGTAGAAGACATTTTAATGTTGGCAAAAGAACTTGCACATTGTCTTGTCATTCATAGAATTTATGTTCCACCCATTTAATTAAGTTATTAAAATCACACATTAATTAAAACTCAATCTATATCTATAAAAGAGGAAAATGTTTGTACGTTTGTTTGTTTGTTTGTTTGTTTGTTTGTTTGTAATTTATGGACTCGAAAACTGCTGAATAGATTTTTCTGAAAATTTCCATATATACTGCAACATCGCCTGAAAGTAACATAGGCTATATACATTTTTGAATTTCCACTTGGAACTGGAGATATAGCATCAGAATCGGAGGTACCTCCCAAAATTTAGATTTTATATGCACATATCTATTGATCGGTTAAAGATACGGTATACAAATTTGGAATGTGTAACGGAATTTGGAACAAAAATAAGTTTGCTAAATTATATTGTAATCGGTTCAGATTTGGATATAGCTCCCATATATATTTTCGACCGATTTCGTTCATTTGATGCCTCAAACACAATATGAATGTTCGATTCCAATGAAATTTGGAATATGTGACGGGATTTGATCCGAAAATAAATTTGTCAAATTATATTGAAATCGGTTCAGATTTGGATATAGCTCCCATATATATTTTCGGCCGATTTCAAGCATTTGATGCACCAAACACGAAACACAAATTGGGGATACATACCCAATTTCTATGAAATTTGAAACGTGTGATAGATTTTATCTAAAAAAATTTATTTCCCAAATTATATTGAAATCGGTTCAGATTTGGATATAGCTCCCATATATATTTTCGGCCGATTTCATGTATTTGGTGGACCAAATAAGATATGTATGTCCAAATTTAATGAAATTTAAAATAAGTAACGGAATCGGGAGCAAAAATGAATTTTTCAAATTATAGTAAAATCGGTTCAGATTTGGATATAGCTCTCATATATATTTTCGACCGATTTCATGTATTTTATGCACCATGCACGATATGTATGTTCGATTCCAAAGAAATTTGGAATATGTAACGGGATTTTGATTAGAAAATAAATTAGTCAAATTATATTAAAATCGGTTCAGATTTGGATATAGGTCCCATATATATCTTCCGCCGATTTCACATATTTGATGCACAAAACACGATACGTATTTCCGATTCCAATGAAATTCGGCATGAGTGGCTAAATTTGGTACAAAAATAAATTTGACAAATTATTTTCAAATACGCTCAGATTTAATTATAGCTCCCATATATATACTCAGCCGATTTCACATATTTGATGCACCCAAAGCGAGAAAGACGAAATCTGGCACCAGAAAAAATTGCCAAATTTTATTGAAATCAGTTGAGGTTTGGGTATAGCTAACATATGTGTGGTTACAATAATAAATGTGACAAATTAATTGGAAATTAGTTAAGATTTGGATATAGCTCCCATATATATATTCTCGGCCGATTTCACGTATTTGACGCACCAATTTCAATGAAATATGAAAGGTGTGGCGGAATTTGGTGTAAAAGTAATTTTTTTAAAATTATATTTAAATCGGATCAGATTGGG